GGGCCCAGCTGGACACCATAAAAAAGTTTGGTTTGGCTTCAAATAATTTGAGTGCTGCAGGAATATAGCAGCCACCTCTTGTCTTGAGGAATTTAAGGATGGCAGATGAGCTCCTCTGTGCATTTTCAGCAATGTAGTCCCCATGGGCATTCCTACTGCTGGCAGAATGAAGACTACTTCCAGATATTTGAAACAGGAGACCTGCTCAATCTTGTGGCCATCTATGCTCCAGGAGTGGCTCTTGGGTCTTTTGGCAAATGCCATGATTTTATTTTTCTGATAATTGAGTTCTAACTGGTCTTCCTTGCAGCACTGTGTTAGTGCTCTCAATGCTCTTTTAAGGCCAATAGGTGTTCTTAAAAGTACTGCTGCATTGTCTGCATAGAGTAGAACAGAGATGTGTCTTCCAGCAAGTTTTGGGGATTGAAAGTTCATGTTGAGGAGTTGATATAGAAATTGAAGAGTGGGACCAATATGCAGTCTTGTTTGATGCCTTTCTCAGTTCTAGTGGTACTGGTGAGATGCCCTGGGGGTTATGTCTTACTCTGAGTGAGGTCCATTCATGAAGCATACATATTAGATGAAGTAAACTTCGGTCAGTTGAGGAGGCCTCCAGTTTTCCCATAGTTTAGCTCAAGATATGGAATCAAAAGCTGCTTTGAAGTCTACGAAAGTGGCATAAAGGGAGGTTGTGTTGCAGGAGGAGTATTTTTCAATGAGATATTGGATTACTAGGCATTGATCAGTGGAGGATTGGCCTCCTCTAAAGCCTGCTTGCTCCTCTGCAAGTATGTTTTCTTGTTCCAGCCAGTCCTGGAATTTCCACTGTAGGTGTCTTGCATAAAGTTGCTGATTGTGTTGAGGAGGCTGAACTGTCTAGAATTAGCATGATCATCCTTTTTCCCTTTTTTATATATAGGGACAATGATTGCACGCCCCCAATCCTTGGGGACTTGGCCATAGGTGTCAATGCAGGTAAAGAGTGAGGCCAGAGTGGGGGCCTAGAAGCCCAAGTTGTTTTTAATGGCCTCTGGTGGGATCAGGTCTTCTCCTGGGGCCTTCCCTGGTCTTAGTTAAACAACAAGATTATTGATCTCTGTCACTGTCACTGGTGCCCACATTGGCAGACTTTCTATAGTTTGGTTAGGGTGTCAATTTCCAACAGAGGCGTCCATGTAGAGTTCCTGAAAGTATGCCTCCCAGTTCCCTGGGAGGATGTGACAGTCCACCATGGATGGATCATTGCTTTGGGAGCTTGATGTGATGTGCCAGAGAGAAGCTGAGTCACTGGATTTGACTGCTTGAATGAGTTATGTCCAGTTGTTTTTCATGGCTTCCTTTTTGTTGTGTGCCAACAGTTGTTTGTAGTATCTCTTCTGCTGGAGGAGATCCTGTTGGTGTAGTATTGAATACAAAAGCCTGGTAAGTGGTAGCAAGAGCTTTTTTGGCATTAACACACTCATTGTCAAACCATGGCTTGGAGTGGTGCTGTTGTTGCTTCAAGGGTGCAATGTTACTATGAGTTAGATGCTGGTAGAGATCTTGGGTAAGGGAGTTATAGTTCTTCAAGAGTGCATCATGAGACTCAGCTGATGTCAGGGCAAACTGAAGGCACTGTAGGTGATCTGAGGCCAGTAGCTCAGTTATCATTTGATTTAGATGGAGGGTTCACTTGGCTCAGCAGTTAGTTCTTCCTGCTGGCATTAGAAAGGGTTGGTAACAGTCCACAGTATGTGTTTGAGTGAAGACATTTAAATGGAGCAGGATTGGAAAATGAACACTGTCAAATTTAGGCATAACTTCTAGGGCCTTGGCATAAGGGAGAAGGTCCCTAGAGACAATTATATAGTCAATAGCACTCATTCTGGAGCTAGATAGGTAGATGAATTCAGCTGGATGGTCACTTTCAAGAGCACCCTTTAGAATGTGCAAGTTTAACCTGAAGGCTGTTTGAGCTAGGCACAGATCTGCAAAGTTTAATTTCTGATCTTTTGAGCAATGGGTGAGAAGGAATCTGTTATCTTCAGGATTGGGAGG